TCCTATATGGTATGATTTCAGATGTATTGTACATTTTATTGTATTGGTATGTAATTTTGATGTCTTTTTTTTTTTTACCTTCTCTCTTTTACTAAAAGCCTAACTAGGGACGGGAGTTGGAAACTAGCATTAGCTATAATCTCTGTATGCAGAACATCAGTCACATTGATTTGTTTGTAACAAGTGGAAGTGTTACTATGTTAACCTGCATTGTCCCTATCAAATAAACTAAATTAATTAATTATTTAGAATTTTCTTACAGACACAAAGGAGTCTTCTCATTAACTATCCATCCAGTTGATTTCAGATTCAGTAACATCTAGTTCCTCAACAAACTGCCAAGCAATATTTGAAACAAAAATGGCTAAATGGTGTACTAATATAATTAACTGATCAGAGTAGGGCCATTCAAATAATTGTAACTAATTCCAGCTATAGTCATTAGCCTCCAATGTTGTTTTGAATCAAAGACAAATTGTTCTGAAACAAGCAAAACCTGAATGGTGTCAAAACCTAAAAAAATGAGGAGGTTATAAAAAACTGGACATTTCTCTTGGTCAGTCATTGTTTCAAATGAAAAAAATAATAATAATACAAATCTTCTCACTAATTAAAGACTGACCAAGTTGGAATTTCGAACAGAACATTGTGTAGCACTACCTGCCTAAATTGAGAGGGAAATGCTTCTTTACTCAACCTTTTGGAAGAGCACATTTTGAGTCACTTCATCTAACTGAAAGACGTGTTAAACTTACCTCAACCTGATTAAGCCATTTATAACACTCAGATGAGGTACGTTATGCAGAAAAAAAATCCAATCAGTTAAGTTGAACACATCTTTCACTTAGATACAGTGACTCAAAACAAGCTCTACCTAAAGGTTGAGCGGGCAGATGAAGAGCTAGGCAAAAAAATGAGCCAAGCCCAAAATAGCAAAATATCCTGCTTTTAATGGTCTTTGCAACAAATGATTGTAAGAGAATGAGAATAAATCAAACAAATGTATAAAGCATGGTATAGTCTCTCCCTTTGATTTATTTAAATGTTCAGCTTTGGGGGTGCACTTGCATTCAGCTTTTTGCAGACAGAAGAATGAGAATTGTTCTACTCAATGTTGATGGCTTAAGCAGTTGATGAGTAGCTGAAAGTCATCTGTACAGGACTCAAAACCGAATTCTGACCCAAGTGAAAAGATGAAAAAAATACAAGCAACAATATTTCATGATATGAAAGTTGACATACAGTATGATGCTATGTAACAGCATTAATTCACTATCTGATGAATTCTTGGCTTGGTTTTCAGCATGTTCGCATTAGAGGAGATGTCATACTAGGGGGGTGCAGCACTGGGTATACCCCAGAATTGCTTTCATGCTATTATTATTATTATTATTATTATTATTATTATAGGCTTCACATATTCCCATAGGCCCTCAAACCCATAAGTATTCTGACATATTTAGTCCCACAGTCATTGAGATACTTTGCCATCTATGACTGACCTTTTTCCAGAATCTGAAAAAGTCCTAAATTTTGAACGTACTGTATCACTTATTTGCCCATTTCTTTCTATTGCTCATCTCTTCCAGTGATCACCCAACTTTAAAAATAGAGAGAAACATGGCAGATGTGAACTGAATGACAGACCTGAACATTAGTGCTTTTCAGGTTTACACAAGCAAAAACCTAACGAGGACTTTTTGAGATATTCAGCTCATAAGGCTGCATTTTAATGCTTAATTTCATGACTGAATGTATCAGTTGGTAGTGATCTGCAAAATATTCCTCAAGGAATCTGATTTATATCAATCTGTTGGAGAAACATGAACACTTACTGCGGTATGCATCACATACCTTAGTTCATATAGCAATTAGTGGTCTAAATTATCATGTCAACAAACGAAGAGTTTCATCGCAAAATGCAATATATCCATCTGATGTATTTTTTAGAAAACTTCAAATTATTGTCCTGGGAAAAGTAAGCATAGAAGAGCTTTCTTATTTGTTGTGATTATTTTATGAAAAAGTGAACTTTGTGGTGATTATCTGGCAAAATGCAATATATCCTTCAAAATGCGATTTGAAGTCAAATGCCTGTCGGTCAATATCATAAATGTAAACATCTCAATATTCCGATAATAATTCTTAATACTCCTCTACATGTAGTACATTGTCCTTTTTGCGAATCTGCTGCTCAATGCTGCCAAAAACTTATTTAGGGAATCCTTTTTTTTTTCTGCAGAGGTTGCAGCATAAACATGACACTCATATTTTTGTTCACCCCGAAACAAGAGTTGCAAAACAATTGGAGTCTGTTGGCAGTGGGGGATTCTTCATTGCTGACTGGCTGCATGGATATATTGCAGTCAGTAGAAAAACTGGCTTGGCTTTCGTTGTGCTTTAGAATAACAGCTGATGTTCAAGCATGATAAACACTGGGATGTATAGTGTGTTGCTATGTGCTGAACTTGGCATGGCTACTAGCCCGCCAATGATGATCTTCTTGCAGTGGTGGTTCAGAAATTTCAAAAGTGGCATTTATTCCTTTATGATGCATGAAATTCACACTAGTAAATAAAGAAGCCATCAGACTTGGGAGGGTTTCAGACGTAAGAAAGGGCAAAATGTGAGAAAGAACAGAAAAGAGCCAATGCGGCAATGAATGCTGATTCCTGCATTAGTCCTATAGAGGCTTGTAAACTATCGTCAAGTATGCACATTGATACATTTTTCTTTACTAACGGTGCTTATTAACATCCAATCAAATCTTTCAGTACTTTAAGGGTACTCTACAGAAATGTTTTCCATAAAAATCGAACATTGATGTCTGCAGCATCTTTATTTTTGCAGGTGACAGAGAGAAAAAGCAAGTGGCTGCTAAGTGAAAGAGCCACCAACATCCTCAGAAGACCCTGTGCACGCACCCCCATGCTCCCACGCAGTAAATCTGAACACTAAACATGCGCACCTGCTGCAGAGCAAAAACAAAAACACACACACAAATGAAACAGAGCAGGTAATACAAGTGGTCAAACATCGAAGCTCTCCCACGATTAGCCGCTGAACCTCTGGAAGGCTGCTGACAGAAGAGTGGACGAAGCAGAGAAGCTGCAGGACTGGCTAAAGTAAAAGCTAGAGGAGGAAGCAAAATAGCGGCAGGAAGGGAAAAACCCTTCTTCTGCACTGAGCTGAGTTACTGTAGCACATAATATGTTGACCCTTCAGCCATCAAGCAACTGAAATACAGTCACACCACTAATCCCCTGAGTGATAAACGAGACCAAAAAGGAGAACTGGTATTCATCAATATTAGCTAGCACATTTAAGACTTTTTTTAAACTTGCCATAGTTTACACACACATATTACTGTAATGAGAACAACCACCTCTCTTGAAAGCTTGCAAAGAAATGAAAGTCACACACTTTTGGTAACAGTTTGAAAAAATGATTTTCTCAGAGCGAAAATTAGAAACATTCTTCCTTCACCGTGTATTGGCATTTTGTGAACTTACAGTATCTGATACAGCCTTAGCAGTTGTATGCTGTCGATGAACTGACTATAAAAGCTCCCATGCTACTCTGACACTGAAATGGCCGCCAGACAGGATCCAATAAAGCAAACAATTGAAAACCTGTATTTCGGTTATGTTACTTAAATTGCACCATTACTTATCAGTAAGCACTAACATATATCAGAACTGGCAGTTCTACTTGTAGCATATTACAATGGGCAGGAATGCAGCCTTACCTATGAGGCAGATATAACACTCACCACAATGTATTTTCACTTCAACACAGAGCAGAGTGTTTATATACATTGAATGTTACCCAGTGCTACTGTGGATATGCAGGTATACGGAGTATATCCATCTCTTTTTACAGACAATTTACAGTAGAATCACCTGTCAGCCATTGTATTGGCGTCAATGCATTAACGAACGCCACCAAACAGACATTTTTTAGAAATCGGGGGACATACAAAGTTTCAGCAGTTAATCTATCTTAGAGAGGTATAACATTACATAACATGAGTGGAGAGAACAGGACATACAACTCAACTAGGCTCACCATTTTCCTGTTACTTAAGTGAATCTAACACTACAGATACTCAATAAAAATCCGCTTTGAGGAAAAATTCTCAACAAAGTAACCATTTAAGGTATCAGCAATATCGTTATTCTCATACAGCAGTGATCCATCTTTATTCTTTAACCTCTTCTATGACTTTTCTTTTTCTACTACAGTACTGAAAAAAAAATGCTTAGGATTAGTTTTTGCCGTTTCCGCAATTTGCCTTTCATACAGTCCTCTAGCATTCCGTAGTTCTTTTTTGACCTTAGCCCGTATTTTACAGTATTCGGCCTTAGTATTCTCATTACTGTCCTGTATGTATGTCTTATAAAGATTCCACTTTTCCCTCAAACTCTTACAAATAGCTGTAGTCATCCACTGAGGATTCTACTTTTTAAACTTACTTTTGCACACCTTAGGAATGAATTGGCATTGTGCGTAAAGTAGAACTCCCTTGAATCTACCCCACAATTCATTTACAGACTTACTTACAATCAATGAGTGTGTTTCAGTTTATTTTGCTTCGATATGGGCGCATCCTGTCAAAGTTTGCTTGCCTAAAATTGAAAATGGATAACTCTTTAATTTGCCATGAAACATCAAAACAAACAGTGGAATAATCACTAGTCCTGAGTGGCTCCATTACCTCTACATTGCAAATTCTATCAGGGTCATTACAAAGCACTAAATCAAAATTTGCTTTCCCTCAAGTAGGTTTATTAACATACTGCCCCCAAAAATCATCATTTATAACATCTAGAAATCTTCCTCCCCTTTACCCTGTCTTTTCACCATTTCCCAATCGATAGCAGGATAATTGAAGTCTCATAATAATAGTCCCTCCTCCTCTACAAGCTTGCCTAATCCTCTTCAAGAGCATTTCATTTACTATACTGTCCAAAGCTGGCGGTCGATAGCACACTTTGTGGGGCGGCATGGCTCAGGAGGTAGAGTAGGCGGGCTAGGAATCAAAAGGTTCCTGGTTCGATCCCTGGCTCCTCCACAGGATATCTCGAAGTGTCCTTGAGCAAGACACTGAACCCCACATTGCTCCTGATGTGCACGGTGGTGCCTAGCATGGCAGCCTCTGCCATCACGGTGAATGTGAGGCATAAATGTAAAGTGCTGTGGTCATGTCATGTGACTAAAAAGCGCTATATAAATGCAGTCCATTTACCATTTATATTTTGACCTGTCTCGTGTTTGCCATTGAGCCTGACCCAAATATCTTCACAGGGCTAGAGATGTTCGATTTCAGGAACAAAATGGACAACTTCAGTCTTTCAGTATGGCCAGCCACAACCACTTTTGGGGGAGTGGGCCTGAAATGGGATCCCACAGTATTTTATGTGCTAGAGATGTAGATTACCCAGTTTTGGCAATTTTGGTCAATGTTTGTGACTGCTAAAAGTTACAGGTCAAATTTTTACGGACGACTGCCAGCAAACCGTAACAGTATTTTAGGGTTCTATCTGATCTAGAAACATATGCCTGGTCAAATCACATAACACTGAGGTCACAAAACAATGATGGACAAAAGAGTTTACACCATCTTAATGACTCAGCTGGTCAACAACCAGTTGAGTTAATAACAACTCTCCAGGCCAGTCAAAGACATACACCAAAGCCAAAGAAACTCCAGAATGGTAGCAATTAAAATAATACGGGGATTACTACCTTAAACTTTAAGAAGCATGAAAATATTCATCCAAAACCATTTATTAATTACCAAGAGGTCTCCACAAGATAGCTTTTGCCAAAAAAGACAGAAAATTGATAACATGCAAAAAAAAAAAAAAAAAAAAAAAAATAGTGTGAACTCATAGCTCAAGAGCTCTTCCACAAGTCTACCAGCAAGCGTTGGGTTTGAGTGCTGGTTTAAAGGGATGTATGAGTATCAATAGCAAGCAGTATATCTCAGGAGCAATAGTATAGCACAGGCATTGTGAGAACACGTGTTGCTTAAAATCTAGAAAGTCACTGGTGTATAAGGAAACTGAGAACTTTTTTTTTTCTAAATGGAAAGGGCAACCCTGTAGGAGTACCTGACAACTGTACCAGATACCTGCTTGTTCATCAACTATAAATAACAGGAACATATGAAGAATACCATTTCAGAACTGAGTAAGTAAAGTAGAGAAAATTCAATTCTGAATTATTGCAGATATGAGTAATGATGGGGGTACTGAGGTGCTTTGGTTTAAACGTCAAAACCTCTGAACTGTAAAACTGACAACTGAAGCATAATGTCCCCAGTTAATATAATTAATAGAAAAAAATAGATGAAATCTGCAGCGATCTTATGACGTATGATGGCTGTGAGTATCAGCATCTTTTGTTGTGATATGATAACCTGATTATCTTCCTGACACTGTTTTTTTTCTTCCTCTCTCTTTCTTACTCTCTCTCTCCTTCTCTTTGTCTTTCTCAACATGAAACTTGCGCAGCTCTCCTGTTCCTGGAAGCAGCATCGACCGCAGCACCAGATAACCCCAGCTGGCTGACGCAGAAGCCCTGGGGTGGGAGAGAGAGCACTTTGGCAATGGCGTGTGTGCAGCTTCCTGTTTTAGGGTTTGGGGGGTGGGGGGCTGCCATCTCGTATCCCATGTGGTCAGGACCACGAGCAGACTGAGGCTGAAGTAGACCAAGGTCAAGGCCCAGCAGTATGACAGAAATCCAGCAGCTCGGAGCATGCAAGGACTGGGAGTGTCACAGCCCATTCACCTCCAGTCAGTTCATACATCACCTCTCCCTAATAACTCCATCAGGGAGGGGGCCGGGTGCTGGCTCCTCCCTGCCCAACGCCACGTAAAATGCGTCTGCTACGCCAATCTTGTCAGATTCTAGGAAATCCTGCATGTTTTAGAGTTCACCTGAAATTGAGTGTCATGCTGATGGAGTAGAGGGCATGCTCACAGGCCAACAAGCACGAGTGCATCCTGGCATCGCGATTTGCTGTGTGTACTGCTCAACACATGACATTAAATAGTAAATACATCGGTGAACTCAATAGTTTGAGCTATTCCAACACACGTACAGGTCGGCAACTCTACCATTTGCCTTATTGCTAAGAGCATCCCAACATGCTAGCATCTGCAGAACAAGGTCAGCTACATGCGCAGTTGACCTACTGATATTGTATGCAGAACAGTAAAAAAAGGGCAGAGAGACTGTGAGAGAAAGAGAGAGAGAGAGAGAGCGAGTGAGAGAGGGAGGTAGGGGACAGGAGATAGAGAGAAAGCGGTAAGGGAGGAAGTGAGGAGCGGATGTTTGGGTTTTCAGCTCATTCATTTAAAACAACAACCGATGAAGAGAGAAAAAGAGAAAGAGAGATAGAGACACCTGAGAATAACCACAGTCACACATCCGATCGCGCTCTCACAGGTTTTCCCGAAACTCAGCGGCTGAGAGACGCTGAGAACCGGACAGAGTGAAAGCAGCAACACCCCTCTGACGCAAGAGCCAAAACACAGACGCTTGGGGGGGTTTGGAGGAGGGGGGTACAGCTGTCTGTCGTACTGGAATCTCTTTTTTGCTGAATTTTCATTCTGCAGATAAAATACTGGGCAGGATACATTATGCACTAATTACGGTTTGCGTTTTAGCATTCTGGAAGAATACAGAGAGCTGCACATGATACAGATGCTCATGCAATCACCAACATTTTTGACATTGCTTTTTTCATTTTTATCAGTGAGTTACTGAAGGAATGTTATGTTTTTCAGTGCAAATATTTGCAATTTGAGCATAAAATGCAATCAAAGAAACACAAAATGTGATTTTTTCTCAATAAATTATATATATATAAAAAGTATGAAATTAAATTGCATATTTTTGAATATTTGTATATTCATGCCAACATTGGATGCATATGCAAGTGTGAGAAGTATGTGGGCATGCGTGGTTAACATGCATCTCCAGTTTTTTCCCCCACAAATCCCACTACTCTGAGACACACAGGGCCCTATTTTGACAATCTAAATGCAGTCTGCAAACGGTAGCGCAAAGAAGATTAAAACTGGGCATGTTCTAATTCCATTCTGGTAATTTCGTTTCAGAAGGCAATAGCGCAGCTGAGGTGCTGTTGTCAAAAGGGTTGAACTAAGAAAATGAATTACCAGTGTGTGTGGTGGAGGTTTGGTTCCATTGAGGCTGATCAGATTAGCTGCTTTCATTCCTTTTACTACCAGAGCATTAATACCATAGCGAGTGGGCAATTTCTTCCGGTGAACAAGCACTTAACTTGCCTTACAGCCAGCTTTGATCCCCTGAGAACAGTGCAGCAATGGAGTTATGCGTGGAGGCGTTTCAGGGATATGAGGTCGATTCACCAGGCAATACGTTTTGCGGGCGAGTTAAACCATGTACAAAATGGCACTTGTGGTATTAATACAAGGGGGAGACTGAAGTGAATTATTTGTATTATTTCTCTCAAATAAAGAAAATATTCACAAGTATAAAAATACTCCATTCACCTTCCGATTAGCCCTCACCACCGTTTTATAGGCATTATTTGTTGGGTGCATAACAAAAATGATAGTTGGAATTACACAATATGCGCTTAATTGCGAACAGCTCTACTGACCACGATTCAGTCACATGACAGTACCATAGAGCAACAGCGTTTGCATTCAAAGGTGGTGTGAATGATTCAAAATGCGAGCAAGGGCTGTGATCCGAAAATTGCAAGTTGCCAGCTTTAAGAATTGACTCAACTCCTTTGACGTTGTCCAACTCCTTGAGACTCAGACACTTTTACCTCTAAGTGGGAGACTTCCAAACTGGGCGAGGGCGATAAATATGCCATTTGCGACAGGCATAATTTCAAAAGTTTCCATTTGTGAAGGCACAAAAATAGAGCCAAAAAAGTAGTTGTGTGCACATCCAACCTGTATTAACTCCTTCAACCCCACAGCCCTCTACAGAGGGCTGACCAACATATTCCCTTCAACCCCAAATTCCTGTAGGGAAAATTCAAACAATCTGACTAATTGATTGGAACATATCAGGTTACATTTAATGGGATTCCAGAGATAACAGTAAGATACAATGTCCAGATAATGACCAGCCCTCTACAGAGGGCTGTGGGGTTGAAGGGTATAGTGATGCTAGAATATCTGGGGTTGAAAGAGTTAAGGTCAGGTGCAGGACAAAAGATACCAGTGAAAGCGAAAAATAATAAATGTCTGCACACTGGGTTGTGGCTCCCAATACTTAATTGACTGAAAAGGCAACGTTTCAACCCAGCAGGGTCTTCATTAGCATTTGCCTGATGAAGACCCTGCTGGGTTGAAACGTTGCCTTTCTAGTCAATAAAGTATTTGGAGCTACAACCCTGTGTGTGGACATTTATTACAGAAATAGAGTCCACAATGTCAATACAGTGAATGTCATCATTCTGAACTTTACTTTCTTGATTTCGCCCACAAAATCCCAAATACCCCAACACAAGCCAACAGGTCATCAGACAGAATAAGTCCATAAGCATTTAAACAATTTTCATTGCCAAAAAACTGTCTGGCCCAATCAAGGACACATGATGAATCTGACAACCAAAATACAACCAAACTAAACTCACTCACTGTTTCCAAGGAATTATGATTCAAGAGGAATTATAAACAAATCAAGTACCATTCTGACATTCATATCAATTCAGCTCATTCACTAAATGAAAGCTAACAAACTCCCTAATTGCACTCATCTCCACAGTCAACCTATCAGCAACTAAATCCTGGATGTCCTGTACCCATCAACACATCCAGCTGATTTCATAAACTATCCAACCTTCTGGTTGAATAAAAGTGTCAATTAATAAACTCAGGAGATCAGAACAAAGCACTGGAGATGTTTCCACTCTGAACATGGATTTCATGCCTCTAAGCTCTTGTAGGCCACTAAGTCAAAAGAAGCCAACAAATCATTTGAGCATAAACCATGTGAGAAAAGAACCACATCAAAAATATATACAGCTAACCAAAACAAATCTCAGGAAGGAGACAGTAA